TGATCTCAGTAGATTTTCCGTATTTACTTGTTGTTCTCTTGAGTTCCATTTTATGACCAGAAGTTACTTGTTTGATGATAATTATTGCAAGGCAAAAACATTCTTACTTGAATTGACTGTTTTATGCAGGGATTGATCGGGCACATGGTGAAAGATTGCAACTTGAATACAAAAGAAAAATTATTAGGATGTTCACTGACAACACCAGCTCCCTTGATTTCGAAAACTTCGATTTTCAATAAAAGAACCCCATATCCTCACGCATGAGGATGGTCCTCTCTGTTGCCCACAATAAAACATGTCAGAAATTCAAACCTTGTAAACTGCTAGCCAATAATTTGGACAAATTTCCCTTTTTATCTTGTAGCTTGTTTTTGCACTTTAACGGCTGAGGTCTAAAATAAATGTTCATATTTATATCTGTGAATCATTAGTTGCGAATCACAGTATTACGTAAACTAGAGCCGTGTAGTTTTCAGCAAAACTAATGGTGCCACAAGGGCCTCCGAACCCGCTTGGCGGAGCCCAGCACGTCCCACCATCTCTGTTGAGATCGAGTTCCGGGCTTTTGGGCGGACAGGGGCCCGGAATGCCTTCACAGAATGCATTCCCCTCGTTAGTTTCCCCACGCAACCAGTTCAGTAACTTGAATATGCTGGGCAATAACAACGTTTCATCTCTGTTACACCAGTCATTCGGTAATGGGGGCCCGGGAACCTCTCAGCGTGGGCTTGTCGATGGCGGACCCGAGCCTGGCCCACACTCGGGCATTCAGAACGGTATGGGTTTCACTGCCCCTTCTTCTTCCTATCTCTCTCCGCCTGTGACGGCCAGTCAGAACTCGTCCGGTCAGCAGCAGTTCCCAAACACATCTGGGATGTTGACGGCCGACCAGCAGCAACAGGCTCAACACCAGCTCAACACACAGAATTTCCAACATAATAATAATAATGTCAATCAGCAGCAATTTCATGCGCCCGGGAATTCCCAGCAACAGCAACAACAGTTTCAGGGGATGCGGCCCGGTTTAGGGCCTGTCAAGCTCGAGCAGCAATCGGGAGCCAGTGAGCAAGCGTCACAGCAGCAATTGCAGGCTCTGAGGAGTATGGGTTCTGTTAAAATGGAAGCTCAGCAGATGGGTATGGGTCCTGTGAAAATGGAAGCACAGCAGTTACAGAGCATGAGAGGGTTGGGTCCCGTGAAATTGGAGCCCCAGCATTCGGACCCGTCTTTGTTCTTGCAGCAGCAGCAACAGCAGCTGCTCAGGCAGTCGTCTCAGGCAGCAGCCGCTCAGATTTTGCATCAGCAGAGGCTCATTCAGATTCAACAACAGCAGCAGCAGCAGCAGCTTTTGAAAGCTATGCCTCAGCAGAGGTCCCCAATCCAACAACAGCAGCAGCAGCAGTTTCAACAGCAGAACTTGACAACAATTAGGTCTCCTGTGAAACCAGTTTACGAGCCCGGGATGTGCGCGAGAAGGCTGACGCATTACATGTATCAACAACAACACAGACCTGAAGTGAGTTGCTCTTCTGTTATGATAATGCATTGTTTGAGAAAATGATGTAAAAGTGGAATTTGATGTCATGTGTATATTTTATGGGTTGTTAATCAGTGCAATTGTTTGGTCTGTTGTGCAGGACAACAATATTGAATTCTGGAGAAAATTTGTTGCTGAGTATTTTGCGCCCAATGCGAAGAAGAAATGGTGTGTTTCGATGTATGGAAGTGGTCGCCAAACTACTGGAGTTTTCCCTCAGGTTTGTTGAGCAATATATGCCAAAACATTTTGATTTAACCATATTGTTTCGTGCTATAAGAAACTTTTATAATACTTCAAAGTTGCATCTCCGTTGTTGAATAAACAAGTTAAGATTCATTGTTCACTAATTAATGTTTTTACAGATCTGTGTAAATGTGTTTGTTTCACTGGTTATATGCAGGATGTTTGGCATTGTGAAATTTGCAACCGCAAGCCTGGCCGTGGTTTTGGTGAGTTTCTTCCTCTGTTATGTAGCATTATCTATCATTTTTTTTCCCTCTTTTTAGTTACTTGTCTGCCAGGTATTTTGCTAGCTTATTTGTTGACAATTTTATGTTATAAACTTCTGTGATTCGAGTTACATCCACCCTCCTTGCCTCAAGATCCTGCCATAGAAATTTAAATTTAAGAATGAAAGGAGAAAGATACCAAAAACATTTGAATGAAAGAAGAAAGATGCCAAAAGCATTTGACCATAATTTTTTTTTGTCTTTGTAGAGGCAACTGTTGAGGTTCTGGCCAGACTCTTCAAAATAAAATACGAAAGTGGAACTATAGAAGAGTTGCTCTATGTTGATATGCCACGCGAGTATCAGAATTCTTCTGGGCAGATAGTTTTGGACTATGCAAAAGCAATACAGGAGAGTGTCTTTGAGCAGCTCCGTGTGGTTCGTGATGGTCAGCTGCGGATTGTATTCTCGCCTGATCTGAAGGTTAATATGCAATAAGATAAGATAACAACAGATAACTTTTTGTTTTTTAGTCTTCTAGACCTGCTGTTTCACTTTTTGCGTGTGGATTATCTCCTCAGATATGCTCGTGGGAGTTTTGTGCTCGACGCCATGACGAGCTTATTCCTAGAAGATTACTAATTCCTCAGGTTGATTTGAGACCTAAGTTTATCGTATTGTTGATTTTTCACATGCATAATTTTCATGTATTCAGTCTTACTGGTGTTAGCAGTTTTAAGCATGAATTATGTGTGCTTTTGTGACTGGTCTGGAACATAATGCAGGTTGGTCAACTTGGCAATGCTGCCCAGAAATACCAGGCTGCTACCCAGAACACATCATCCAATGTTAATGTTTCGGAGCTACAAAACAACTGCAATATGTGAGTTTTATCGCTTGGTTTTCATATGGATCTGTATTTTGGCGTTGTACAATTGATATTCATTTAGTAGTAAGTTGCTCTTTTTTTCCTTCTCTTGAAATGATAGCAGTGTTTCAACAAGGTACTAGTGTTGATAGTGCATCGCACGGGATATGGTATAAAATATTTATTATTCAATAAATTATTTAAGAAAATATGTCGAGTCTATTCGATATATTATATCAAGCAGTAATGCTATAAACTTTGCTTAAATATTTTTTTTTTTATTTTTTTTCTTTTGTTTATTTTAAAGGATTGTACTTGACTATTTATTATATGAATTTTATTATTTATAAGTTTATAAAATAATATAAATACCTAAGATTTTAAATATGATATTTGTATACATATTACTTGCATGTACTTATATAATTATCTATCTCCTTATTGTTAAAGAATAATCCCGGGCTTATCCAAAAATCACAGTTAAATTTTGGAAAATCATTTTTCGATTTTAAACATATATGGGCATTACTCACATCATCATCATATTTGGCTCAAGTCATATATGAGCATTTGGAAACTCATTGTCCATATCATCATATAACATACTTACGAGATTCATTATCAATCATAAAAATCCCGAAACATAAAGTGGTCATAATCATCATATCATAATAAGCTAAAACATATCATCATGTCAATTATTACCAAAATGACATAAATTTACTTGATTTTAGTATTTATTTACCTATTTTTATTTAAATATATATATATAGAATTATAACTTCTCTACAAATTGAATAGTTTATTTACCTTACATTTTATTAAATTTTTAAATCATTCATTTAATTAATATGATTCGAACATAACATTTCTGATTTTTTTATTATATTATTTTAGGGTGCTTATATTATTTTAAAGTGCTTCTGATCAGTTTTTATAATTTAAAAAATCGATATGTTGTAACAATATAATATAATATAAATAATTTACTCACTTATCAAAATAACAATGAATAAGTTCATTGTTGTGTCATAATTATTTTAAGATCTTATTGAGTATATATGTTATCAGCATAATTGTATTTAACTCAATGCATGACTAATGAATATTAACCATTGACCTAATAAAAAAGAATTAATTTTTTATTTATGATTTCTTCTAAGAAATAAAAGCTAATTATATGCCAAATACTAATAAAAAAATTTCCCACCCAAAATCATGTCAATTATGGCAATATAGATTGGTCATTATCTGGATATAGAATATATAATTAGAATTATAACTTCTTTGCAAATTGAATGGTGTATTTAATGTATATAGACATTTTTCCTGTGAAATATATAATTATTGATTTTATCCGACAATCAGAATACTAATTATATTATCTTATTTTAATTCGTCAATATCCAAATGATACATTCATATGTAGATTTACATTTTTAGTTTTTTTATGCCAAATCATTTAATATAAATCTGAACATATATTTTATTATTTTTTTAATATTTTAAATAATTCATTTAATAAATATGATTTGAACATAATTATTTTGGTTATTCTTATTATATTGAATTGTTTTTGATCGGTAACAATAATTAAATAAATCAATATCTACAACCATAGAATAATAATATAATTAATATAATGACTTATAAAAATTACAATGAATGAATTCACTTAATTGTGTCAACAAATAACTATGTAATCATTTTAAGATCTTATTGAAAATATATGTTACCAATCAATAATTCTGTTTAACTCGGCATAATTAATGAATATCAACCATTGTCGAAATGAAAAATTATTAATGTTTTATTTACGAAATTTCCTAAGAAATAAAAGTTAATTATGCCAAATATAGTTGAAAGAAATTTCCTTCCCAAAACCCATGTCAATTATAGTAATTTTGATTGGTCATTATATAAATATAGGTTTAATTTGTCAAATAATCTGTCCTACATACATGTAATCTGCACGAAGCAAATACTAAAATCTTACCAGGTGATACCAAAGCAAGTTGTGGCATAATTTACTCCTCTTGTGTACACCGTGAAATTGAGTTACTGGAATATTGAAGCTTTATAATTTTCAGCGTATGGAAGACAAGTCTTGGTAGGGTTGCAAAGGGAATTTGTACTTGGCAAAAACTTATAATTTGTGTGTTGGACTACCCAAACCTGACTTGTACTTTGGTAAATGCAAAACCATTACATATGGTTTTATTGGTTCAACTTGTCACATATGGTAGCGAAATGCTCTCTCTGCATTTTTTGTTTCTAATTTCTGGACCTCACAAGTGCAATAGTGAAGAAATAATGTTTGTCAAAGCTTGGCACTGCAATCAACTAGACTAGACTACTTTTACCAGCTTGTTATTTATATTTTTTCATAAACATCATACTAGTGTTGGATAAATAAATTGTATATTTTCTTGGATTTCATAGCAGTTTTTTTTTTATTTTTATTATTATTATTATTATTTTTTTTTATTTTATGCTTACTAAAGGAACATTATTAATGGTCAGAAGAAGCTGCAGCCCAAGACGAGTTACAGAATTTTGGTTGTTTTGAACTAATTGTATGATCAACTGCCTTTTTATTTACTTTTTCTTCATGGGGTTCAGGTTTGTTGCTTCAGCTCGTCAGCTGGCCAAAGCCTTGGAAGTTCCGCTGGTAAATGATTTGGGATATACAAAGAGATATGTCAGATGCCTGCAGGTACAATCTTATTTCTTCCTGTTTCAGCTATTGAAACCCTTTTGAATTCAGCTACCAGTAAGCAGTAACTACAAGTTCATGCCAAGTAGATTTAGTTCACGTATCAAACACAAGTTTCACGTGCTCTTAGTGGAATTACCTGGAAAAATCACCCACCGATTGAGATTGAGTTGTAAAAGCAGTAGTTGGGCATACTTTTTTGTTAATTTTAAAGGATGACTCCATGTCCAATGCAAATTCCATTGAAAATTGGTATTTTACTTCTTTATATTGAACCTTGATGAAGGTTAATGTGCTGCATTCAGAATCTGGTTTATCACATCGAGTAAAATCCAAATTTTTTTCGTGTTTGCTTGTTTGATGTGTGGTGCTACTAACTACAGTTGCCACAAATTTTTTTTTTCCATCACTAATTTGGTAGCTTTCAATGTAATGAATGGTTTTTTTGTCATCGTTTTCTAGTGATGGATGATAATCTGTCTTGAATGTCACTGCTAACCTTGCAGATATCGGAAGTGGTGAACAGCATGAAAGATCTTATTGATTATAGCCGTGAAACTGGTTCTGGTCCTATGGGTGAGTTTTGGTTTTTCTCGCAGTTCTTTTTACCTGATTTGTTTGTTTAATTAGGAAAGTGAGGCAGTTACCCATAGTCCCATAGGGAGTAAGCTGGACATATCACCAATGGAATGCTTCTACTGACTTTTGCTATAGTTATTGGTCTAAAGACGACTTAGTTTGATGATAAAACGTGAGTCCAACAGCATCTCTTGATGGGAATATAAGCTTAAATTAATTTAAATATTTTTTGTACTAATTAAGAAATTTAATTTTGAAGGTATGTGTGATGTTATAGGTGTTAACCCTTGTGACAATAGGACTAAGTTAAGAAATTTTCCTAGTGACATTTCACGAGATCTCTACCTAAAAAAGTTTAAAATTGCCCTATTCACGCTCATTTTTTTTTTTCTCCTACCAATCACTCCACATCATTTTAAATATAAATCCTCCAATCACTCATCATTTGTGCACACTTTTTCCTAATTATCACTATTCACGCACATGTTAATACTAACTTCTAAAGCATGCCCAATCATTGTTTTTCTCTTTTTACTTCCATCTCATATCCATTCACACTCACACAACTCTCTTTCCCTTTTTGGAAAATCAATGCGTCACTGTTTTACCATTATGACATTTTCCAATTGCACCGTAACCCATATGAAATTCATATCCCTCAATTCTAAAAACACAGCGTAATGAATGTCCTGATCTTAATATTCTCAATGTCTAATCTAATCAGCCATTTTATTTTGCATGCAAAGATAATCGCTTGTGACCATCCATTGGTAATGTTGTTATTTTTTCCCATTCATTTTTTTTCCACCCTAGAGAGCTTGTTGAAGTTTCCTCGAAGATCAAACCCATCATCCGCATTTCAAGGTCAAAGTCAAAGTCAACAACTCGAGGCCCAGCTACAACAGCAGCAGCAGCAGCAGCAGCAGCAAACAATGGGCCAAAACTCGAACAGTAACCCAAACCATCCCACACCAATGCAACTTCCTTCCACAAGCGCTAACAACACCATCAACCCTGGGCCCACGAATCCTACTGAAACCATCGCCAATCTCCTCCATCAGAACTCAATGAACTCCCGGTCCGCCCAAAACCCGATACCCGGCCCGAACCCCTCTTATGGGGGAACAAGCACCATGCAGATGACATCCCCCAGTGGCTCATCTAACACCATGCCACAGGCAAACCCTCCCCAATCCCCCTTCCAGTCCCCAACTCCATCAACATCCAATAACAATAACAATAATAGTAACCATAATCCACAGCCTACATCTCATAATTCTGTACCGGGACCTCATCATGCAAGCACGGTAAATTCGCCTAATATCACAACAGGGCAACAAAACAACACTCTTTCTAATGATGCGGACACAAATGACCCCCAGAGTTCGGTTCAGAAAATCATACAAGACATGATGATGTCATCCCAAGCTAATGGGGGCATGGTGGGGTTGGGTTCGATGGGCGGTGACATGAAGAATGTGAATGGAGTTTTGTCATCAGGTGGCAATATTCTCATGGGGACTGGTGTAGGTAATGGTGGTATGGGGATTTCGGGCTTTGGGGGTATGCAGAATGGGCTGGGCCAGTCTGGCATGGTCAACGGGTTTCGGGCAGCCCTCGGGAATAACTCATTGTCTGTGAACAGGGGAATGATGAATTCACAGCAGCAGGATATGAACAGCCAGTTGCTTGCTGGTCTTGGCGCGGTCAACGGCTATAGTAACCTACAGTTTGATTGGAAAACATCTCCTTAAAGCTAGTTTTTTTTCGTTTTATTGGTTTTTTTAATGTCGTACGTGTGTTGTTTGGGCGTATAAAGTGTAGTAGTAGCTGTTTGTGCAGCGTGGGAAAGTTGTCGGGGGATGGTGGGTAGCACATGTCGAGAAAAGAGAAACGGGTAGCTTGCTGTTGGCTTACATTATATCCCCTGTTGTACTAATTTCAGAAAAAAAAAGGGAAGAAAGAAAAAACGAAAAAACATATATGATATAGTTTTCTTGATTGGTACTTTGTGTGTGATTGGTCTTTCTAAGCGTTGTAAAATTATGCCGACTCGGGATGTGCGCCCTCGTTTGTGACAGCTGATCTGGCGGAACTAACCGATTCGAAGGGAAACAGCAGTAGGTGAGAATGCAGCTGAGCTGGACTTGTCTATTGCTCTCAAAAATATTTTCTTGATTGTCAAGGTATTGTGACCTTTGGTGCGTGCCACTTTGCTTTGACTGCTCTTGGTATGTGAGTGTATAGTACGGATTGTCTTGAAAGCCAAGTTTGTAGAATTTTTAGCAGTTGGGAATTTATTTACAGCCTATTTGATTGCTATTATCTACCTTTATCTACATGAAGTTGGTTCGGCTCTGGTTTGTGTGCATACCATTTGCTCGACATGCCCTCTGTATTGTTTTGCATCATCTACAAGTCGAATCAGTCTGTTAAATGACATTTCTTTTTCCTTTTTTTTTTCTTTCTAGAACATATGCCGTGACCGGTC